TATATATATATAACCATTCCATTCTCATTTTACAACACAAGGAACACCAATACACTCTATGTATAACTTTCTTTTTTGTTTAAAAATGTCTTCATCATCGTTGTCCACTTCATCGGAAACATTGGCATTGCAAAAAGCGGGGTTTATTGGCTAGTGGCGATGATTAGATCATGTTTTTTTTTATATATGTTTTGAGTATTTTTTTATTTATATTTTTAATATATTGTGTAATTTTTTTAATTAATGAAGTATTTTATTTTTATTACTTTTATATAATTATAAATTATCAAATCATATTTTATTCACTTAAAAAAAGAAAAAAAAAAGTTTGGTAAGGTATGATATGACATCCACGAGTTTTGTAGGTGAGTGGAAAAGTGATGTGACGATAACGTGACAATACAATATTGTTGTGAGTATGGTATGACTCCCTTAACACCTCTTTTATATTCACGGTGAAAAGGAAAAAAGAAAACCATATGTTTTTTTTAAATATTTTTCCATGTCACTTATTATTTTGTTTTGATATATTCCACCTGAGCATATTTAATCTAGAAAGAGATTAAAAATGGTTTTTTTGAAAAAATGAAAACATGGGTGTTTTTTCTGAATATAATAATAAAACAGGGGGTTATTAAACAAAATGTTGAAAACTTAGTGGTTTTTATGAAAATTTCCCTAACAAAAAATCCCGCCTCTTTCCAAATCATCGCTAACCGTCAAATCAAATCATCCTATCGTATCAGAACTGATTGACATCGCCGATTTTGAAAGAAATTCGAAGGAAGACGAAACGGGGATGAAGTCGATCTTCGAAGAAAATGTGATGCCGGAACCTCAGAGCAATATGAAAGTGATCGGTGTGATGTACCTGAAAGTTGTAGGTCAGTGAATTCTATTAAATATTACTGCTGTTTTTGTGATTGCGCATGATATTTTCGATTTTCGAAGTGATCGGTATTAGGTTTTCCGATCCTGTGATGATATGTTGAGAAAGACTTGATTAATTCTCTTTATAACTAATCCAATCCATGTACAATTCTAGTTAGAGAAAATCAGCCCCAATTTGTTGGGTTTTACAGTGAAGTGTTTTTGCCCTTCAAGTTTCCCATCTTCTTTTTGTTCCCTCTTTTCTCTCGTGTACAGTTTCATTCTAGTTGCACACTCTAACATTATTGATTATCTTTTATAAAGGGGTTGTATAGATGTGGGTTTAATACAAGTATCAAGAAAGTAGTCTGATAGTTTGTTGTTATCAGGTGAAAAGACAATCACGCAAGAAGGAGTGAAATCCAAATGTCTGTTGGTTCGATATAAGGATGTATGTAAACCTACTTTATCTGTCTGTTTATCGTATAATTGTCCAAAATTTCTTCTTTAAATTGTAAAGTTTTTACAGATTCCAAGGATTCTTGGTGACACTGCTGTAATGATTCATCGACTCTCATACCTTCAACTTCTTGGAAGTGCTGAAGAAGTTGAGGTTGCTGAAATGCTCCTGGTTGATGCAGTTACAAAGGTAAACAACTGGTGTATATGGGTTAATTTTGTAACACTAATATCGATACCAACATCTTTCTTTGTGATTCTAAAAACAAGTTTGAAGATTCATATCAAGATGAGTAGTGTTAGTAGATACCACCTTCTTTTATGGTTTGTCTTATGAGAATATTGTGCTTCATAATTCGTTTCCAGGCATATGATGAAAAGGAGTTTGTCCCCACAGCTCTAATGCCACCAAGCATCTGTCATCACACGATGACCATTCCTGTAATGAAGGTGGGGATAACAACTATCTAGAAAGATAAACATAGCTATATCATTCTTCAATTCTCAAGTTTTGTTGTTTGTGTCTACATGTAGGATGTACCTTTAATGGGCTTCAATGGAAGCAATCTACTGAAAATGGAATCCCAAACTGGTGCTTGGATAGAGGTTTGATAAAACCGTTGTCAAATGATTTCATGCATGTGTTGCTACTTGCTAACAATAACATTATATATCGATATCCTGCAGCTGGATACATTATGTGACAGTGTACTGGTGATCAACATATATGGTCAAGAACTAAAGCTAACTAATGCAATAAAAATCATCAAGGAACAAATCTCTGAGGTGAGTAGAGCTACCTAGCTTTGTCATTTTAGTTGATCCAAGAAACAATTTTTGGAGATTTTACATGCATTGTAATGTTTCCTTTTCAGTATGAGGAATCTGTCAAGCTGAAACACAAACTTGACGAAGAAGACAGTGTCGCATCTGGTAAACCGGAGGTTTAATTGCAACAGTGGAACTCCTTTTGCAGGTTTAGGGAAGGAGCGTTATCATGATTCATGCATATAACTGACTGTTTTGTACGTTCTTGTAATTTTTTTTTTTGGAAATTCTTGTGCATGAATATGCATTGTGTAAAAACCATTTAAACCAAACTATAAAGAAATCATTTTCGGCAATAAAGCTTGGACGAACGAGTACAATGAGAAAGCTAAAGTGAGAGGCTTTTCTTCGTCATAATGAGTGCATTGGAAATCTATATATGTTGACTATACTGTCCCATGCTTTCCCATAAACTGGAGATGTGATGTGTGTCTCATGGGAGATTGATAATATATTTACCATTTTGAATATCATATATATCACCTAGGTTCAAATGTTTTTAGCAAGTATTGTGTGCCTAAATGCACCAATGAGAATTCAAAAAATAATAAATCATTAAAGGGTATTTTGGACATTTTGTACTTTTAATTAAGGAAATCATTTAATTTAAATTTTGCAATTAAGGAAATAAAGTAATATATTTGACCTAGTCATTTGTGTTCTCGTTTATAGGCGTGCATATAATTCCATTCCAACCCTAGCACATCTCTTTCTTTTTTTGCGGCCTTCTTTAGCAACCAGCGAGAATGTTTGATTAGAGATAGCTTCAACACGAATCTTCTAGATTTTCGTTTCAGTCAGCCTTCATCTTCCAGATTTTCGTTTCAATTTGAACACCGATGGATGTTTGATTAGAGATAGCTTCAACACGAATCTTGAAGAGGAAGGGGTTCGGTTGTGTGCTCTCGTTAGGGCTTCTTTCCGCCGTGTTTCATGAGATGACATCACATTCGCCGCCTGTTAGCGCGGTGGAGTCCTCCCACTTCGGTAACATCACCTGCCCGACTTTCACTTCCGCCGGACCTTCTGCTACCTGGAGCTGTATCAGATGCTTAAAGGGTTCTGATTGCGGATTCTGTGCTTCACAAACCGATAAGGTAAAAACCATACTTGTTATTGACTTTTTTAGTGAAACTAACTAATCTTTAACTCCATAACTCGTACAGATCATTCAATCTTTTCAAAATCTACAAAAAAACACTTTTGAGGAACAAAACTATAATCAATTCCGAGATATACCCATTAAGATTCTGAGGTGTTTGTGGTGGAATCGCTTCTACATCAAACTGGATTTCAAATCTTATCGTTGCTCAATCATTCTTATTGTTAACTGAAGCCATAGGAACTTCCTGGACTTTTCTAGGGTTTGGGGTTATATCAGTCATAGGAACTTCATGGACTTTTCTCAGGTGCCTAAACATTTTTCTTGCTTTTCAAGTTTCTATTTATTCTCAGGTTCAATTTTTCTTGCATCTTTAGCTTGTACTCAATAATTAACTTGAACATGTTAGGCTTGATGTAATTTCCCAAATAAAGTTAACCCGATTCCAAATCTTTTATCATAAAATGTTTGTCAACTTATTTTTGTTGCTGATCTTGTATATTGTAGGTATACCTTCAGAATTTGGTCTTCAAAATTCTGCCTTTAAAGTGTTTGTGAAAAGTCCTCAACGAATGAGAGTGACAATGAGTGCACTCTATAAGGGGTTCCATTCTTGAAACATTATTCAAAGCATGTGAATATGAGGCCTTTACAAAGCACCATTATCGCGAGCTTTGAGGCATGAGTAAATCTGAAACAAAAAGAAAGTTGACTCAGTAAAAGCCTGAATTGGAGAAA